AAAGCCATGAGGTCCATCCTTGCCCCTTTACTGGGACTTGCAGACAGAAGGAACAGACCATGCTGTAGGGAACAGCCTTTTGCCATGAGCTGGAATTGCCCCGTGGGAGAGCCTTGTGGTGAGCAGGTCTATTGTGCAGCATCCCTGCCCATGGCAGGGGGTTGGAACTGGGTGATTTTAAGGTCCTTCCCAACCCAAACCATTCTATGATTGTATGATTTAGCTAATGTCTACAAGAGTACTCCTGGATTAGAGAGCTCTAAAGTGCTCAGCTATTATCTGTCCAGAGGGAGCATCCTCATCTCATCAGGGCCAGGCTTGGTCAGCTGCCAGCTGCAGCAACAGGGTCAAAAGACCCACGGCTCCTTGTCCTGGCTGCTCTGCAGGGATGCGCCATCCCCAGGAAGGGCATCCCAGGGTAAGCCCAGGCAGTGCCTTGGGGAACCCCTTCCTGCAGACCCCAGACCATGGGGCAAGCCCCCTGGGGCAGGATGGGCTGTTGGCTTCCTGCTGCCTGCTCCACCTCCTGCTGCCCTCACCCCTGTGCATCCCTTGGGGCATTTTGGTACCCATCTGACCACATCTTTCCTCTGTTCTCCATCCCCAGGCCCTAACACTGTTCCTCACCAGCTCTTCCTCCTTATCACAGGGGTGAAGACAGCTCACGAAGGGGCAATGGCTGCATGAGGTAGGATGGTGCTGAGCACTTCACACTCTCCCTGAAGCTCCCCAAAGCTCAGTCTTGTAGAGGGACAAGCTGCCCCTGCAGGATAGGAGGAAGGAGCACGCAGGCAGGGGCTCATCCAAGAGGATGGATGGGGATGGCTGCAGGCTGGATCTCCTCCTTCCAGCAGCTGGAGAAGCTTCTGGAGCGCATTGTCCACTCAGGGCTGTACATCCAGGGACACCAAGGCTCATCCCTGCGAGTGTGGGGAGGGACAGGGTGGTGAGGGCTGGGCCAGACACAGGCGAGGATGAGGAGCTCAGCACCCAGCTCTGCACCAGGCCAGGGCTCTGCATGGAGCTAAAGTCACGCTGGGGACCACAACGTGGTCCAGGAAGCCCAGGAAGGGATGCTGGATGGGGCTGGAGTGGGAGCTCAGCCCAAAATTGCTACAGGGCAAAGGAGATGTGCCTCCTACCCATGCAAACCAGTGCCTGGCCATGCAACAGCAGGGATTTCAGCTACCACGTGCATCCATACAGCCTGCAGCTGTGGAGCTGTGGGGCTGAAGATAGCTCCATCAGGTGAATCCTGCTATGGGCTTTTGTTCTGGGGGGGCTCTGGGTCCCATAAAAGCTGCTGAGGAGGGGGTAAAGCCAGCCCTGTGCAGTGCACATGAAGCTGCTCTGCAAAAGCTGTGCGCTCCAGTGCTGGGATGGGAGGGGAAAGCTGAGATCAAACACGGTGCCACAGACACAAGGCACACAGCATCTGCAGCATCTTAACCTACTTTGGGTTGCTGCCACGCTGCTGCTGACAGCGGCCAAAGGAGGGGCTGTGCCCATGCTGGCACCAACTGACAGCTCCTGCTCGGGGCACCCGAGCATCTGTCCCTAATCCCATCATCATTCCTGATGCCATGGCAGGGTGAATGAAGGGAGTAGGAGCCACAAAGCAGCCACCACCTCATCACAGTCTGCAATGGAATCAGCACTGCAGCCCCACAGCCGAGTTGATGAACAGGGATGTGATAGACAGACACCAATACCCCGGTGTGAATGCCCATGGGCAGTGATGGGGAGACGTCAGTGGGCATGAGGCACTGGCACAGGCTGCCCAAAGAAGTGGTGAATGCTCCATCCCCGGCACTGTTCAAGGCTGGGTTGGACAGAGCCTTGGGTAACCTGGCCTAGTGTGAGGTGTCCCTGCCCATGGCAGGGGTTGGAACTGGATGAGCTTAAGGTCCTTTCCAACCCAAACCATTCTATGATGGACAGCTGTCAGTGGGCATGAAGAGCAGCCACCAGCGGAGCAGGAGCCAGCACCAGGAGATGCGCTGGTGGAGAGCAGGATCCTTGGTGGATTGGGTCTATGGGTGGAATTCTGATCCCCTTCCAGTATGTGGACCCCGCATTAGGATAAAAGGCACGGCCTGGGGCAGCTGGAAAGGACCATGCATGGTCCCCCTTGCTGACCACCTCTTGCTCCCAGCAATGGGCAAAGCTCTGCCATCCCTTCCCCGCAGCCACACACAGCAGCCCATCACACAGCTGGTTGTCATCCCGTGTCATGCTGACATTGGCATCACGCTCCCCTCCTGAACCAGCTGCGCACCGGTGCCTCTCCGCACCCTCCCCGCAGCGGCATCAACACCGTTGTCTCCATCAGCCAAACTCGCAATCTCCTGAAGGAAGGAAGATCTCTCGCTATTTTGACAGGTTCCCCGTTCCATCACCCCCCGCTGACTGGCAGGAACGCCGGCTGCGCAGGCGCCGATGCTGCTTACAGCGACGATGCTCCCGCTCCCCGCCAGGAGCCAAAACTTTGGGTGCCCTCATCCACCCAAACACAAACCCTTCACCCCTTCCTCGCAGGGCCCTCTCCCGGAGGTGATGACTCCCCACGGCCGGGGTAGCCAGGATGAAGCGGCGGCGGCAGGAGGCAGCGTTCCCAGTCTCCAGAAGCACCCGCAGATGGTGAGCCCACACTCGGCGTCGCTGCAGCAGCCAGTGACCTACACGCGGGCGTCATGTGCGATTTCGGAGCTGGGGGGGGGGAGCTGACAAAAATGCACATTCCCGCTGCGGCTCAGCTCTCACCTCCGCCCCTGCAGCCCTCCTCGCTGCCGGCGCTGCCAAGAGCTCTCCCAGCCTGTTGCCACCGCTGACAGGCACCCGCAGCCACGCTCTGGCTGTGCAAGCAGGGCAAGGCGGGGGGGGACCGTGTGCTCCTGCGCCCCCAGCATCCTGCATCTCGCACGGGGCGGAGGGTGATGGACAAAGCGCTCTGAAGGAGGGGATTTGGGATGTGGCTGTGTATGGTGCACACAATGGAGAGCAAGGAGCTGCCATACATCACTCAGGCCCAGCCAGCACCATACATGCTATAGCTGTGTTTCCCATGGCAAACAACAGCAGGACCGCCGTCCCCAGTGCAGCTCAAGCAGGAGCACTGCTGAGGCTCCTCCTTGCTTTTGCTCTTCCAGGAACTCAGCCCTGGGTGCCCTGGGTCCAGGCTCTCCCTGCAGAGGCACTTAAAGCTTTCACATAGCGCTGGCACACTCCTCCTTTCCGCTTCCCCTTTCCCCAGTCCTCCAGGGCCAGGGTTCGCCTGCAAACATGTTTTCCTCTGTCCTCATTCACAGACGGGCTCCATGCTCCCCACCCCACGTGCATCACAGTGCTTTTCCAGGTCAAATAATGCAGAATGTGATTCACCCTAAAGGGAAGCATCCCTGGGGAAGGATGAAGGATGGGACAGGTCAGAGTGACCGGAGGATCCTTGTAAGGCTCCCGCTGCTGATGGACTGAAGCCAGGCAAGACCTCACAGCCACAAGGAGATAAATCTTGTCTGCATCCTGGCTTTGAACATCTCCACGCAGCGGGAAAGGAAGCTCATGTCCCATCAGAGCACACAGCCATGGCCTTTCCCAGTCCTTGGTCTGCTTGTGGATGACATGAGATGCAGATGGTCCCAGTTCACTCCTGGCTGAGCAGGAAGGGGCTGTGATGGGAGGTACTGGTATCATGAGACCCGTGCTGGTGCCCACAGGTCCAGAGAGGGCTGGCACAGGGTGAGGAGCACAGACAGGGGTCAGGGACCAGCCTGGCACCACTGAGGCTGGAGCAAAACCTGCCCCATATACACTGCTGGGAGCACCCATCGAGGCTACCCTGCCCCAGCCACTTGCTCCTGCTGGTGTCGGATGCTGGGTCCAGCACAGGCCTTTCCGGAGGTGGAGAAGACCTCAAGGGTGATGCTCCACATCCCCTGGGAGCCAGCAAGCTTCAGCCACCATCAGCCCTTCATCCCATGGCTCCTACTCCATGCTCCCCATGGGAAAGATGACGTTCCCCCCCATCCACTGCAGCACACCACTCTACCACAGCATCCTGAACCCATGTGCAGACACACACACATGCACACAGATCCATTCATCCGTGGGGCTGGCATGTCTGCCCTGCCCCATGGAGGGCACAGGGGATGGCATGGCTGGGATGTCAGGCTGGGATGTGGGATTCCCCCCTCATCAAGGACAGGAACAACACAGTGGGGCTGTGCAGAGCATCCCTCTGCATTAGCCAGGAGAGGACCCGGTGGGCACTGCCCAGGCCCCTCTGCTGTAGCCTTCAGTGCTAATCCCGGGCCTGCCTGGACACTGTTCCTAGAGGGACTGAAAGGTTTTTGCACCCTAAATCATCCTCAGGTACAGCCAGCAGCTCCTGAAGGGAAAGCACAGCCCCTCAGCCAGGGGTACCCCATCCCACGAGGGTGTTGGGGGTCCAGGTGACCATTTCCACCAGGTCAGTGTGGGGCAGCTGGAGGTGCACACTGGGCAGGTATCCCACCTTCAGAAGCGCTGCATTAGTGCCTTCTCCAGCCCAGCATCCTCCCTCTGCCCCATCACCTCCCTTGCACCCAGCGAGCCCCCAGCCCTGCAGTGCGCCCATACAGGTGATACCCGGTCCTGGGGACCAGTAGAACTGAACCCCCTGATGCTGCATTGCACTGGGAACGCAGGGCTGCACGTAGCCAGGAGTCCCCACGTCCCCGCTGCACCATGGCACGGCAAGGACAGCCCGCCTGCAGCACTGACCAGCAGCCATCAGGTTAAAGCAGCGGCTTTACATAGCCCATGGGGTCCAGGGAGGACCCCATGGGTGTGCAGGGGGCACCTTTGCTCCTCCACTGATGCATCCCCATCTCTGTATCCCTTCAGGTTGCTTCGAGGAAAGGCGGTTCATCCCCCCGGGGCCAGAGGGGATGCAGGGAATGCTTTTATTGGTATCTCCCAGCCAACGTCAGCCCGGGTGGAAAAAAAAACCATGCTTCGTGTCTCATAGAGCTGTTTAACACAGCTCAGGCAGCAATTGGTACAGGGACAGCAAACCAGGCTGCATCTGCTCAGCCCCAGTCACAAGCTCCCTGCTTCCTCCGTGTGCGTGTGAGTGTGTGTGTGTGTGTGTGTGTGTGTGAGTGTGCGCTAGACACAGGCATCCGCTCACAGCATCTCGCTGTCTCCTGCATCCTCCAGCAGCAAGTGCAGGGCTCTGGCTCTCCGGGTACCAGACATCCCTGCTCCATCCCCCAGCAGGGAGCTGCACGCTGGGCACGGGATGCGGTGAGCATCTGCAGGTGGAGACAGGGTGGTCGTGGCCAGAGGCAGCGGTGATGGACATCGTGTGGACTGCTCTCTAGGGCTCGTGCTCCCCAGACAGACCCTGACCCTGGTAAGTGGCTTTTTTATTGCTGCCGTTGGCGCTTTGCCCGGGGCATGGCATGGGCTGACTGCACATCATGGTACTCATAGGTGGGTCCCCTTGCTACCCCCCCCCCCCCCGGGATGCTGGCTCCCTGGGATGGAGAGACTGGGAGCAGGGAAAGGGATGGGATGGGAGGGTCCTGCCCAAGCATCGGGGTCCTCATGTGGGTGTTTGGGAGAGGGTCTGGGGAGGGAGAGGAGGAGAAGGGGGACCTGGTCAGGAGCCGTGTCTGCTGCAGGGGAAGGGACTCTGCTGTCACGGCATTTTCACCCCGCTCTGGTAGATGGAAGCGTGTGACACACCTATAAAATCTGCCATGGCGCGGCAGCCAGAGCAGCACCGGCTCCGTGTCCCCAGGGTGGGGACACAGCACAGACAGGGCTCCAGCCCCCCCCATCCCTGCAGAGGAAGGGGAGGGTACCACCATCCAGGGAGTCCCTGCCCCATGGCAACCGGGTCACCTCGCAGCAGCATCCCACAGCACCAAGCAAGTGCTATCTGCCATGGAGATGGGGACAAGGGGATGATGCCCAACCCCTCTGGGCATCCCCAGTTAGCTCAGTGGGGTGCGATACGGACCCCCCCCCAAGCAGAGCCTGCTGCTGGTGCTGCCCAGCCCCGCTCTCCCCAGGCAGCAGTGCTGGCAGTGCGTGCAGGGCTGTGCCAGAGGCACACCAGCTCCTCCCAGCCCTGCTCCATGCCCTTCAGACCCTGGGTCCCCAGGGTGTGCTACCCACTGGGACCCCATCCCTCTGCCCCCAGGTCCCTCCTGCAGGCACAACACTGGAATGGGATGGAAACAGCAGGAGCCTGGCAAGGGCAGGGAGAAGGCCTGGGCTACAGGAAGGCATGGGGACCAGGAGCATCCTCCCCTGCTAGCAGGGAGCCACAGAGGGGGTCCTGCTCCTGGCACCCTGCTCATGGTGTGCACCAGCACAAGCACCCCACTGGCCTTTGGTTTGCTGGTGGGGCAGGCAGGGAGGCAGCAGCCTGGACACTACGGCTTGTGTCCCAGCTCCCCATGGCACCACCAGGCACCACAACAGCACAGCCTGCACCCATGGAGCACACCCCACGCACAGCCTCAGCCACCACCTCGTACCCACTGCTCTGCAACTCCCCTGCACCCAAAGCCAGCACCCACTGCGTGTGCCCACAGCCACTGCAACACCCCCAGCCCTCACCCCGCACCGACCCTAACACCCGCCCCGTGCTGCCAGCCACACCGTAGCACATACACCCCGCAGCACATACACCCCAACACATACACCCCAACGCACACACCCCAACACACACACCCCTCAAACACATACATGCCAAACACACACACCTAACGCATCCATCCCTAGCACACACATCCACTCCTAACATACCTACCCCATAACAGATCCATCCCTCACACATACACCCCTAAGGCATCCACAATATAAAGCATCCAACCCTAACAAGCCCACCCCAATATATCCACTCCTAATACATCCACCCCTAATGCATCCTTCCCTAAAACATGCATCCACCCGAGCCACATCCACTCCTAACAGACCCACCCCATAACACATCCATCCCTAACACATACACCCTTAATGCAGCCACACCATCATGCATCTACCCAACACACATCCACCCCTAACACATAGAATCATAGAATAACAGAACGGTCAGATTAGGATTGGAAAGAACCTTAAGATCGCCTAGATCCGAACCCCTGCCACAGGCAGGGACGCCTCACACGAGACCATGTCACCCCTAACACACACATCCATCCCTAACAAATCTACCCCTAACACAGCCACTCCTAGTGCATCCATCCCTAACACACACACACCCCTAATACATCGACCCATAAAAATACATGCACCCCTAACACATCCACCCCATACACACACATCCACCCCTAGTGCATCCACCCCTAAAAACAGATCCACCCCTAAGACATCCACACCATAACACACCTACTCCTAACACACACATCCATCCCATACACACAAATCCATCCCTAAAAATATCCAACCTTAAAAAGACATCCACTCCATACACATCCACCCTTAATACATCCACCCCTAATACATCCATCCCTAATGCATCTATCCCTAACACACCCATCCCTAACGCATCCATCCCTAACACACTCATCCCTAACACATCCACCCCTAACACACACATCCACCCCTAACACATCCAGACCATAATACATCTACCCCTAACACACACATCCACCCCATACACACAAATTCATCCCCAAAAATATCCAACCTTAAAAAGACATCCACTCCATACACATCCAATCCATACACATCCACCCCAAACACATCCACCCCTAACACATCCACCCCTAATGCATCCATCCCTAACACATTCATCCCTAACAGACACATCCACCCCTAACACACACATCCACCCTTAACACATCCATCTCTGATACCACCACCCCATAGCACATCCACCCCTAATACATCCATTCCTAATACAGACATCCATCCACCCCTAACACATCCATCCCGGATACCACCACCCCATAGCACATCCACCCCTAATGCATCCACCCCTTAAAACACATTGACCCCGTAGCACATCCACTCCTAACACATCCAACCCTAAAAACACATCTATCCCATACACATCCACCCCTAATACACCCACTCCTAACACATCCATCCCTAATATATCCATCCCTAATACATCCACCCCATAGCACATCCGCCACTAATGCATCCACCCCACACAGACATGCACTCTCGCCGCATCCATCCTGCGCTCGCAGCCACCACAACACCCGGCTGCGCTGCAATACACCCACCTGCCTGTCACCCACACGTCACCCGCCCGTCACCCACCACCACCCTTGCACCCCATAACCTCAGCACCAGCCGTAGGTGCTCCCCGCTCCTGTTGATAGAGAGGAGGCTTTGCAAGCACCGCTGCCTCTGCATCGGGATGCTCTGCCCTGCTGCTTCCTCCTGCAGAGCCACCAGCCCTGTCCCACCAGTGCGCCCCATCCCCACCTAAACCAGGCTGAACCTCACCCCAGCTGCACCAGCCTTGCCTCCGAGCCTCAGTTTCCCCATGCATGGGGATGGGAAAGATGAGTCAATGGGTGCTAGGGAGATAAAAGTGCCTCCTGATTCAGTGTTTTGCTGCAGGGATGAAGTACCAAGGAGCAAATCCCCACCAGAGGAGTGTGGGGAATGGGTTCTGCCCAGGGGGACGGGGCAAGGATACAGGGAGCAGGAAGGGGGTGGGAACGTGCCCACCATCCGCTGCGACAGGCCCTGGTGCTGGCAGAGCTCTTTGCAGGCAGCTCCAGCCCGTGCACAGATTTAGCTCCTCCAGGGGGAGGACCTAAAAATAGCCCCCATGCTGGCACCCAGCACCAAGGGCACTGCCCTGGCACCTCGGGACAGGATGAGCAGGGTCCCCAGCCAGGGGACAGAAACAACAGCAGAGATGAATGTCCCCTAGGAACGTGTGAGGATACAGACATCTAACTGGGATCCTATGGGGTGCCACAGAACCCCCTCCCCACATCCAGAGACCCTGGGAAAAGAGCGACCACCCAAGCCTGGCAGGACCTTGAGCCTGGCCAGGATCTGTGTGGGGGTCAGATAGGACATGGGGAATAGGGGGGCCTGGGGAGCGCAGACCAGTTTGGGGGTATCTGAGGAGCATTGGAGACTGTGGAGAAGCAGCAGGGCCTGGAGACAGAAGCCATTCAGCCCCCAGATGTGCAGGTAGGGCCCAGCTCTGCAGCACTGAGAACAGACACAAGCTGTGACAGGAGTGATGCCTTCAGGCTCCAGGCACACAACAGCTGGTGATACCACACTTGGGAGTGGACAGGAAGCAGGGAGATGGCCTGGGATCTTCCAGTAGTGACGGGGCATGGGTGACCATGCCATGAACACCAGGGGAACCTCATTACAAGGGGATTACAGCAGGTCCATACTCCAGTCACCCTATGGCTGCCCTGCCATGCTGCAGGGTGCCACCTTGAGCCCCACAGCACTGTGGGGAGATGCTACCATCATACTGGGGACCAGGATCACCAGTTTAGCTACTTAGGGGACTGGTGTGGCCAGAGCTGGGACACACACCCCTCTTCTTGCTCTTCTCCATAAGCACAGCCCCTCTGAGCCCTCTCCACCCTGCTTCTGCCAAAGGTCAGGATCTGGCCAATGCTCAGCGCTGCAAATGCAGCCCTTTGGGATGGATCCCCCTGCAGTGCCCCCAGCCCGATGACTCAAAGGCAGAGCCAAAACGCTGTCCAGCACCAGCGCTGATGCTGCCCACGGCTGATGAATCCTGAGCCATCCAGGCATGAGGTGGTGGCACGGTGAGGAGGCTCCGGTGTCTTCCCTCCCGCTGGCACAGCCGCAGGGATGCTGTTGCTGTGGCTCGGACACGTGCCTGCAGCTCTTCCCCGCTCCCAACCTTTGCCAAGGCCCGGGTACTATCAGGGCACCCATGGGTGCCGATACCCCCTTCCCACGGGTGTGCCTGGACCAGCGCGCCAGGACAGGGCCTTCATGTGTGTCCCACAGCCGGCTCCGCGTGGGAACGAGCACGCAGATGGTCCCGCGGCGGAGGGGGCAGGCTGGGAATCACACACATCACATGTCGGAGCCGCCTGCCAGCACCAGCCCGTCAGCACCGCGGGTGTGGGGCAGCAGCAATTATCCCTGCGCAGGGCCCCAGCACCGCAGTGTGAACGCTGCTGCTCATTATCCCGATACCTGGGGACTCCCCTGCTGTGGCTGGCAGCACAGGAGATGGATGCGCTGATGGGCCCCCAGCGAGTGATGCCTCCTGATCCCTGGGCACCAGCTGGGAATGCCTCTCTTGGCTGCAGCATCTTCCATAGCGCAGCCCCAGTGCCCCACACTGATGGAGAGCAAATCCTGCTTCTCCACAGCTTCAGATCACCCCAACCTGCTGTTGCTGCTGCTGCTGCCCTCCCTGTTTTACCCTAAGTCGTGTGGCCAAACCCCCTTCTCAGGACCCATGCGCCCCAGATCCTCAAAGCCCTCCTACGTGGCCCAGCTTCTCCACACGGATGTTGGAAGGATGCAGGATGCCAGCAATCAAGGCAGCAGCACACACACGTACACATGGGCATGTAAACCCAAGAGAGGCTGGGGGTAAGAAGAGATTTAAGGAAGGTGAGACCCAGCACCAGCTCTGCTGTGCCCTAGCCCTGGGCAGAGCTGTGGGGCGGACACCTCTCACCCTCGGTATGCTGGACAAAGCCTTCTCCAAGGCAGAAAGGAGATGCATACAAAAGGCAGGGTTACAGCTGGTCCAAATCCCTCCAGGATTCCTGCTCTGGTGTGGAAAGGGCCTGGATGTGTTCCTTGTTAAGGTGGAATCTACAGAGCAAGGATGTGGAGTCAGGATGTGGGTGCCCCAGACCAGCTCCCTGCTTGCTGCCCCAATTCTACCATCAGCACCCAGACCCTCCATAGCCAGAACCCCACACTACTTCAGGCCCACCTCCCCATGGCCACCACGGATGACTCCAGCACCCCCTTACCAAGCAGCCCCCATTTATCCCTACCCTAAGCTTGGGGTACCCCGTTTCGGTGCCAGGGGCACAGCGCAGGGATGGGGCGCAGCAGCACAGCACCCTTACCTCTGAGCACCTTCCTTCCCCCCGTGCAGAGCCATGGGGGTGCTGATGTCCAGGCGGCAGACGGTGGAGAAGGTGCAGAAGGTCAGCTTGGCCGTGTCAGCCTTTAAGGACGGGCTGCGGGAGCAGCCCTCGACGCGGCGGCGCGCAGGGGCAGGGGACGCCCGTCGGGGGACGCTGGAGCAGTCGGTGCAGGAGGGAGAGGACGAGGCGTCGGCAGGGCCCTCGCAGCCCGAGGAGACCAGCGCGGCGAAGGCGGCTTGGGAACGGCTGCGGGACGGCCGCGGTGTGGAGCCGGAGGAGTTCGACCGGGCCAACAGGTTCACGCCTCCCGCCTTCATCCGGCCCAAGCGGGAGCTGTGCGATGATGAACCCCCCGACATCAGCCTGCAGCGGGAGCAGGTGAGCAAAGCGAGGGGATGGGGTGCGGGTAGCGCTGGGGCGCACGGAGCAGCGGCAGGGACACCGGGCACGGCGGAGACCCACGGAGGGGATCAGTGGGGCTGCTGCAGGCGTCATGCGGGGGGAGTGTGAAACTGTGCGCTGGAGGGAACCTGTGGTGGGGAGGAGAGGTCACTGCTGGGCACAGACAGCTCCAGCTCGGAGGCCCCCAGCACAGGAAGGATGTGGACCTGCTTGAGGGAGTCCATAAGAGGCCATGGGGATGCTGCGAGGGCTGGAGCAGCTCTGCTCTGGAGCCAGGCTGAGAGAGCTGGGCTGGGGCAGCCTGGAGAAGAGAAGGCTCCTGAAGGGGAGACCTTAGAGCAGCTCCAGTGCCTAAAGGGGCTGCAGGAAACATGGAGAGGGGCTTTGGGCAAGGGCCTGTAGGGACAGGACAAGGGGAATGGCTTTGATCTGACAGAGGGGAGATTTAAATCGGATCTAAGGCAGAAGCTCTTCCCTGTGAGGGTGCTGAGGCGCTGGCACAGGGTGCCCAGAGAAGCTGTGGCTGCCCCATCCCTGGCAGTGTTCAAGGCCAGGTTGGACACAGGGGCTTGGAGCAACCTGCTCTAGTGGAAGGTGTCCCTGCCCATGGCAGGGGTTGGAACCGGATGAGCTTTAAGGTCCCTCCCAACCCAGTGTATTCTGTGATTCTATGTTTGTCAGCCCACAACTCAAGCCATCCATCCACACCGAGACCCTTACAGCTCAGCCCACTACAACCAAACAGCTTATCTGCCTATGCCCACAGTCCTAGAGCCCACCCATCCTCATCCGTGACCCTACCCCCCTACCCACCCACCCCAACAAGATTACACCCCAGCCCATCCTACTTACAGCTAACCCATCCACAACTACAACCACCCAACCCACACATCATCACTTCAACACTACAGCCACCCTACAACCCACAGCCCCACCATCCACACCTACCATGCTGCACCCCAAAGAGCCAACAACCCCACAGTGCCTCCAACCATCCATCCTCCATTCATGATCCACATTCACCCTCCTCTAGCCCAACCAGCCATGCCCCCTATAACCCCACCACCGGTTCCCTACACCAGCCCCACATAATCCCACCCTCCCATCCAACACCCATCCCCACCTTGACTCCCTACCTTGAGAAGCCACCCCCTGTGCCCGTTGCCCCTCTGAGCACTTGCCCATGTCCCCCCAGGTCCAGAACGACGAGATGTGTGAGATCTGCGAGGTGTGGACGGCCGAGAGCCTCTTCCCGTGCCGCGTCTGCAGCCGGGTGTACCACGACGGCTGCCTGCGCCGCATGGGCTACCTGCAGAACAACAGCGCCGTGGAGGTGACCGAGACGGCGCACACCGAGACGGGCTGGAGCTGCTACTACTGCGTGAGTGCATGGGGTGGGGGGTACCAGGGGCTTGTGCTGCGGGGTGGGTGCTCCACAGGGTGAGGAGCAGGTGCAGGGTGATGGGGAACCTGCTGCCCCCCAGCTCTTGCCATTGCTTTGGCCTGATGGGGAGGCACGTCCCCTCTGCTGCAGCCAGCCCCACAGCACCTTGGTGGGGATACGGCACCACAAACGTGCTGCTGGGCACACAAAGGCCAGGGGTGCGGAGCCATCCCACTGCAGCACCCCTGGGTGACGCAGCGCTCCATGCCCTTCTGTGTGCCTGCACCAACGTGCCTTTAAGGGATCCCTGTACCACAGCACAGCCAGGTGCTCCCCCTATCCCATACCTTTGCCCCATTGCTCCTCTCTGCCCCACACCCCAGGACAACCTCAACCTGCTGCTGACGGATGAAGAGATGTACAGCCTGATGGAGACCATGAAGCAGTGCAAGATCATTCCAGGTGTGTATTCCACCAACAGCAGGTCCCAGGCGGATGGGGAGGTGCATCCCTCCCATCCCGAGCACTGCACAGCCCATGTGTGCCCCACAGAGACCTCCCTGTCCCTGGATGACTTCCTGCACTACAAGCACCTGGTGCACAAGCAGCAGTTCGAGCAGCCCATGGCCGAGGCGCAGGAGGAGCAAGCAACCCTGCAGTTCTCTGCCCTGGACCCTGACAAGAAGGGGCACATTGAGTGGCACGACTTCCTCTCCCATGAGTCCATCCAGCTGCTGCAGAAACTACGGCCACAGGTACGGCTGTGGGGCCAGGGGCCAGCTCCAGTGGGCTGCACCCATTACCATGATACCCAAGGCCAGCCCCCAAGGCCAAAACTCATGCACATGGCACCCAAGGTCAGTTTCTACGGCCAGCACCCATGGCCACAGAACCTGAGACTGGCTCCCATGGCCATGGCGTCCATGGCTGGAACACCCAAGTCCAGTTCCTATGGCCAGCACCCATGGCCCCAGTACCTGGGACTGGCTCCCATGGCCAGCACCCATGCCCATGGCACGCAAGGTCAGCTCCTATGGCCAACACCCCCTGCCATGGTACCCATGGCCAGCATCCCATAACACCTAAGGCTAGCTCCCACAGCCAGCACCCATGGCCAGGTCCCATTGCCATGACACCCAGGGCTAACTCCCATGGCCATCACACCCAAGGACAGCTCCTACAACCATGATACCCAAGTCCAGCTTCCACAGCCAGCGCCTGTGCCATGATACCCAAGTCCAGCACCCATGCCCATGACATCCATGCTCCCCATTCCCTTCTGTGTCCCCCAGAACGCACTGCTGCGGCTGCTGACGGCCAAGGAGCGGGAGCGCGTGCGAGCAGCCTTCCTGGCGCTGGACCAGGACAACGACGGCTTCATAGGGGAGGCCGAGTGCCGCCGTGCCCGGCACTCCTGGTTCCGCAAGCACCACAAGGAGACACCATCCTGCAACGTCAGGTATGGGGATACCCCCGCACTGGAGCGAGCCGGGGCTCCACCACAACCCATCACCCCTTAGAGGTGCTGGGCACACAAACGGGTGCCCCATTCCCATAGACCCCCCCTTCCCCACAGCATCAGCCACGTGGGGCCCATATCGGAGAGCAGCCCCGCCAGCAGCAGCAGCAGCAGGAGCCTGGAGAAGACCCCGCGTGCGTTGGAGCAGGAGGAGCCCAGGTGAGCCGGGGATGGTGGCGATGGGGGGGATGCCCCCACCGTGGGGCAGCCGCAGTGACCCCGTGTGTGCCCGCAGGCCCGTGGACTGGCCCGGCTTCCTGCGGGACAACGTCGCCTTCGTGCTGGCCGCCCGCCCCAACAGCGCCGCCCTGCACCTCCTGCCCCCCGCGTAAACCAACCCCCCCCCTCGGCGCCACCTTGGCCTCTCCCGCCACCACCACCCCGCCCTGCCCTCCCCTGAGGGCGGAGCTGAGCGGTGATTGGCTGGCGAGGATGCGGCCGAGCCGCCTTCTCCACCTGCCTCCGCTTTCGATTGGCTGTGAAGAGGATGGGTGCCGGGCTCTGATTGGCTGAGGGAGAGGGGCGCGGTTTTGGGGATCTCTGATTGGTGGGGAGGGGGAGGGTGTGGTCCCATGGTCTCCCCGCAGCCCACCGCGGGGATGCCATGGGGCACAGGGAGCTGTTGTCCCCATGACCCCCAGCCCCACAGCACCCGGTCACCCCCCAGCCCTGCAGCTAACAGGTCCCCATGAAGAAGTGGAGTTTGCTTTGTTCCTGTGGCCAAGTCTGGGTAGGTTTGGGGTGAGAGCAGAGCCTCCACGCGTCCCCAGCGCTGTGGGGCAGTGCGGGTGAACCTCTGCACCCACGGGTCTGCGGCAAGCACTGGCTCAGCTCATGGCCATTGTGAATCCTTGGTGCTGACCCTCACTTGGCTTCTCCCTGCGTGGCTCCAGTGCGTGCTGGAGCACAGTAAGTCCATCCTTGCACCCACAGCTCATGGCTGAGTCTCGAGTCTGGGGACCAACCATTTCACGCCAACATGAAGGGTATGGGAAGAGTCACTGGGAACAGAAAGCACCAGGGGGTGGGAGAGCAAGGATGTGCAGGAATGCTCACCTGCATCACTCATCCTCTCCTGTCTCCCTGGTCCTACGGGATGCTCTCCCCTCTGCTCAGCATTCCAGTCCCCCATTTGCTCCTACTCCCTTCCAGCATGGCAAGCGGCATCCCCGCCTCACTGGGGCATCAGTGCTTGGGGTGAGGAGGAGGAGGAAGAGACAGAGCCCAGAGCCGCTGGGGGTGAGAAGCACTCACCATGCAGGGTTGATACCCAATGTCCCAGGAAGGTGGATGGATGCTCTCACCCCACAGGAGAACAAGCAGGGACCCTGCAAACCTCACCCCACGCATGCCCAGGCCCCACGGCAGCCCCATACGCTGTCTCCTGGCCCCTCAGACCCCTTCCCTGCAGTGCCCTCAACCTGTCCCCCCCAACCCAGGGTGCCCCAAGGCATGCACAGACCAGGGGTGCACCTTCAGCAGCCTGCTCACTCCCCCCTCACCTCCACCCCGATGCGATGGGGGCTCTGTCCCGCTCGGCCCCCCCTTCCCTCGCCAGGGCACAGGTCCCCTTCTCCCAGGGACTCTCTCCGCTACAAGACCGGGAGGCACGCCAGTGCCGTGACACCTTCCTTTACCGCCCTGGCGTGCCAGGTCAATGGGGATATTTCGGATGTTAGGTCCAAGATGGGGATAAGAGCCATGGCCATGGCGAAGAGGCGGCTGTGGCTGCGTGTGTCGCAACCCCAGCTCTGTACTTGAGAAGCATCCATTAAACAGCTGTGTCCAACCAGCCTCAGCACCGTACACTTATGGGCACTCTCTGGGCACCCCACGTGTTCTGTTCAACACCCTGACCCAGCCTCGGGCCCCTGTCCCATCTGCGCCTTGTGTCCCCTTAAGTGTTGCATGGAAGCAATGGAGGGAAGCCAGGGTGCACCCTCATTGCAAACTTGGGGTGCCCTATGTCACACCTGGACAGCAGGCAGTAGGGAGAGTGCCTGGCTGACACCACAAGGGCCCCAGCCCCTGCAGTACCCATCCTTGCCCACAGAGGCACTGGAGCACTGGGCACCAGTTGGATGCTGGGAATAGACTGTTTGAAGTGGTGCTGGCAACCCCCAAATAACCCCATGGAGGCACCAAGGGTCTCAGGAGGAGGTGTTTGGAAAGCAGTCCCCATGGCTGGAGGCTCCTCCAGTGCTAGGTGCATCCATGGAGCTCCCAGGCAGGGAAAGCTGTGGCTGTTGCTGGTGGTTTGTGGGAACCAGGCTGCTGCAAAGGGGGCTCGCCTGCCATGGGGGATGTTTCACTGCACAGTGCCCATGCTGAAGGTTGGAAGGACACATCTTGAGAACTGGATCCAGGGAGACCCTGGCAGCATCCATAGGGTCTGTGAGGACACAGAGCTTGCTGCTAAAAGCTGGACTTGTATATTTCACTCCATCCCCATGGCTGCAGTGGGCCGTCATTGCATCCAGACCACAGCAGTGGTGCCCAGCTGGCCCCCAGACAACATCCAGTGAGCACTGCAGTCCCTGGATTAGCCATGAAAGCTCCTTGGAGGTGCATCCATCTCCTTGAGGAAGACAATGGGCACATGGAGAAAGAAGGAGCTGGTGCGGTTTGTGTGCCTGAGGACAGGATGCTCCAGGTGGCAATGCCACGGGCTCTGCCCATGGGGGGTACCCTCACCTGGCGAGATGGTGGTAAGTTCTGTGCTACTGCTCCTGTGCTGGAGCTAGAGCACAGGTCCTGGGGACCCTGGGGGTGAGGTGCCCACTGACAGCACCCCAAAACCACCCTCTGATCACCACACAGGATCCAAGCTGGGAGGGCAGAACCCATCTCAACCCTCATCCAGTCACACTCTGCACACTGGGGACAAGGCACCAGCAGCTTTACCATTCCCAGCTGACCTGGGCAGACACAGGAGGACATGGTGATGGAATGGGCAAGGTGGTGCCCCCAGCATCTCTTAGCTGTCACCTGCTCCACTGGAGGTGATCTCACAGACCCAGCCCCAAAAAAACCCCGTGGCCTGACCACCCTCCCGACTGCTGGTGCAACCTTCCCCTGCATGTCAGTGCAAACCTGAATGCTGCTGTAAATCTGACCCTGAATCCTCATGCAATCCTCTCACTAAACACTGGTGCAAACCCCTGCACGAATCCCCACAAATGATGGTTCAAACCTCTCCATGAACCACCCACTCAAATGTCGGTGCAAACCTCTCCATGAACCACCCACACAAATGCCAGTGCTAGGTGCTGATGCAGACCTTCTCTGAGCACCACTGCAAACCCTTCCCTCCAAAAGCCCCATAGGTCGCACTCCAAAGAATCAGGATATTCCTATAGGATCTAAGGCTGGGGCAGGAACCGGCTGCCCGGCACAATCTCCCCACTGACCCCACAACGAAGGCAATCCCAGAGCAGCACATTCACGCTTTAGCGATGGTGCCTGTGCAGCCCACCCGTCTGCTGTCCCACCAACCGTCACCATGCAGTGGGTGCTGTGCTCTCGTGGGGCTGCTCCGCGGGGAAAACGGGGTCCCGAGCCCCAGACCTGCATCCCAGCATCCCTCCTCCCGAGGCTGTGGTCCGCGGGTAGCGCTGTCCCGCTTTACGGGGAGGCTGCACCCTCTGCTGGGGTGCGCGGTCACTGCACAGGGCTGGCATCCCACCCAAACACCGCGGCGGTGGGGAAGATGGGTGCTTGGACCGCACCACAGAGCGCAGGGTACCGCACTCCTCCGAGCACGGGCACCTCGGCTTGTCCCCGGGGTTCCCCTGCACTTGGCCACCAGGTCTGGTGTGTCCCAGAGGGGAGGTGACCAAAGCGTGCCCCACACCAGAACCGGTGCTCTCCAGATCTGGAGTGCTGTATTCAGCTTTGGGGCCTCCAACACAAGAGGCATCTGGAGCTGTTGGAGCCAGTTCGGAGGAGGCCATGGAGATGCTCCGAGGGCTGAAGCAGCTCTGCTCTGGAGCCAGGCTGAGAGACCCCGGGAAGATCTTAGAGCAGCTCCAGTGCCTGAACAGTATGACAAGAAACCTGGAGAGGAGCTCTTTACAAGGGCACGTAGTGACAGGCCAAGGGGAGTGACTTGGAGCAACCTGCTCCAGTGGAAGGTATCCCTGCCCATGGCAGGGGTTTAGAACTGGGTGAGCTTTAAGGTCCCTTCCAACCCAAACCCAAATCATGATCCTATGAATGCTGGGGACATGTGCGGGCAGCTGTACTGAGAGAGGGCTGAGACACTGTCACCATGATCTGTGGCACCTGGCCATCGCTGGGACATGTCAGAGCCCCATCCCACCACTGCCACAAGAGCACCCACGGATCACAAACAGGAGATGAGGGTTCTCTGGTCCACCTGTGACAAAGACAGCAGCAGCCACAGCCCATGGAGCCACTGCCACCCTGGTGGCACTAACCATGCTTCCCCTCCCCGGCCACAGCAGGAATGACCACGCAGAGCAGCGATAAGTGTCCCCCCGCTATAGCAACATCCCCCGATGTGAGCAGGGCAAGGAGGGAAGGGAATTTGGGGCACAGAACTGGGACGAGGAGGTTGGGCACCCAACAAGGACCCCCAACCCCAAGCGAGGGACCAATGGAGGGACCAAAGCCCTTTGGGGAGGCTCCGCGCGGGCTGCAGGGCTGGGGAGGGGTGCGAGGGGCTGCAGTGTGACACACACACACTCCCCCTTTCCCCAGCAGAAACGTGGCCACCGGAGGTCGCCACTGCACCGCGAGAGGAGCTGGCGGTGGCACCGCGGGACCGGCACGGGCAGGGGGACAAGAGCACCGGGGCACCGGGACATCCTGCACCGTCCCGACACCACCACATGGGCAGTGCCGCCATCCTCACGCACGGGTCCCAAACACATCGCAGCACGCAAGGAGGGATGCAGAGACTCATTTCAGTCCCAATAAATCATGCTGCAGGGTGGTTCGTGACCCCCTTCTCCTCCTGCCCCACCACTCAGCTTTGACTCCAGTCTCTGCCCCATAGAATCCTCCTCCTCCGTTATTATGTGCCCGTGGCAAGGGGCTGAAGCTGGATGAGCTTTAAAGGTCCCTTCCAACCCCAAACCGTTCTATGGTTCTATGAAATGCAGCCAGACACTGGGCATGGTGACAGGGATAGGGACAGCGACGCCCACCACCTCCTGGGACCAGTCCCATGCTGCCTGGCTCCACAGTGCAGCCCGGAGTGAAACATAAGGAACCAGAGCAGAGAAACGGTGTTCCCCACCACCACCACCCCATCACCTCCCCTCGCACACCGCCTGGAGCTGCAGGGCGGTCTGCCCCCGCAGGACACAGCCCCACGGGCACCCCGCCATGGACGCGCTGTGCTCCTGCCCCGGGAGGATGCTGCTGGCCGGGGCCATCCACAGGAACCCACGCAGGGGCTGTGCACGGCACACGCTGTGCGACACCGCGCGGGGCTGCCAGACACCGCCTCCTGTTCTCTGCTCCCGCTTCCCTCCCGCGGCACAGCTGGGGCCGCGGGGAGCCTGCGTGGTGCCAGGGCTGCAGAGGCGGGGGACACGGCGTGGTGGTGCCGGGCACGGTGCGCATCCTGCTCCCCGCGGCAGCTTGGCTGTGACTCACGCTGGGAGCCCACGCAGGATCCGTGTCCTGGTCCTCTCCTGCCTCCGTGCGAGGCCATGCGGGAGCAACGCGTTAACACCGCAAGACCCGAGTGCCTCCCTCCGCACCTCCCTGTGGCTGTTGCCTTACGGAGGGACCGGGAGGTGGCACCGGGGATGGTGGCCCCACCG